AACATGAACAACATAATTTATTTGTGGAAAAAGAATATGCATAACACATACAAGTTATTTAAAATAAAAAAGAATGGGAACCAGACAAGTTAATTAGTCATGATGCATCTTATGACTAATTAACACAAGATGAACATAAAGAAAAAAAAAATTAAAGATGAAACAACTTATAATATCACTCTAAAAATGGATCCTCAAACTTAGAAACAAATGCTAGGCAATAGGGCGAGCGAGAAAAAAAGAATCATCAAATTTCAAGATACAACTGTAACCATAAATATTGCAATCTAAGTAGGCTCCACCTCCACAATTAGATCGAAGACCTTTCACCAATGAATCTATGCAGTTGATGCATTCTAATGGTTCGAGATCTCCGGTGCACTGTACCATTCCATAGACAATTACCTTGTTTTTTATATAAAGAATTTCCATTGCTCCAAACCTATTAGATGCTCTCTTTGCTTTCATAGTAGCCACATCTTACTCTGTTCACGGTAGTTATGAATTGATTACTATCAATGGCATGAATTTCTTTTGAAGACCGACCAAAGACGGGGCCCGGGACTAGCCACTTAGAAAAAATTTTGTTATCGTAGCGAATGAAGCACAGTTCGAGCCAAATAACCACTGGAGCCGAAGAATGACAATCCTTTTCTTCTATTCTACGTGTCGCTTCTGAAATGCATGCGAAACAGTTCTCCTGATTAATGCCCCCTCGGCACTGAGCGTGGCCATAGATAGCATTTGAATCACTGCCAGCGATGTGGAAAGCGTAGTTGTCGGGACTAAGCTGAATCTTTTGTTTTATATTAGAAAGAACTTCGTTGATGTTCTGTTTCAGCTGATAGCCGCCGGGCATGCTCAAGGGATTGAAGCAATCCGTATATGGCAAATCAGATTCCATCTCCCAAATAGTGGTAGGAGGAAAACCAAAAAGATGAATAGCTTTAGTGAATTTTTCATTGCCATTTTCATGGCAAATCATGATTTAGTTTGCTTGCTTCTTTATAAGGAAATAACGTAGACTTCAATGCTGCGCAGGCCTTCCACTAAAGTCGGGCAGCTTTTTATTTTTATTTATTTCATCTTATTTTACATTTAACATGTGGATGTAAGAAGGCAATTGAATTAATGATTCCATTTGGCAACACAAAAACGCAGGTTGGTAATGTCCAAACAATAACTAGAAAAGTATTGATAATATAATTGAAGTTAATTGGCAACCAAAAACTACATTGTCTATATATTATTTATAAAAAATATAATTTATAATATCTTTTCGGTTCAAAATTAAAAATGCATGTGGCGTCTATTATTTGATCGAGCATTGCCCGAGCAACTATTTTTTTGTTGCTCAATTTTTTAGCAATATTAATTTATAAGCCACCCACAAATTTCCATCACACGACACGAATTTCAAGGCATGACACAAATCTCAAGATAATAATTTGAACAATAAATGTTCAAATCTTGATAAAAAAAAGTCATTGAAAACTGTGCAAACTTATAGTCAACCTGACTGGCTCGATCAGACAGAGCCAATGATATAAAAATTAGTCTAATGTGTGTCAAATCAAGCTCATAACAAGTCATTAAACCGCTCGTGGAAGATTTTGTGGAAGATTTTCGGACATATTTGGAATGTCAAACGGATGTCGAAGCTGGCAATTTCATATTTGAATCGAACGTCTCGACAAGACGAATCTTACGTACCCAAGATTGCTCAATTCCGACATTGTCAAGCACCAAAATGTCCATCAGACGATATTCCATCGAAAAAAACTATATGAACCATCAAATCAAAGTAATTCATATTCCTGCATTAATTACACCTAGAACATTTTAAATAGAGCCCCGCTCCTATAGTTAAGCAAAAAGTTTGAGCCTTGAGAGAGAAATTAAGGCTTTGAGAAGGAGCTGAAGTCAAACAGCATTCATGCCATTATCGATCGCCAGCGGCGAACCACCTCCGACCTCCGTCGATCACCGCCGACCGTCATTGATCACCACCAATCGCCGCCGCCCACCACAAACTAGACATCGTTAGTTGATGTTGTAACTTAGAAAAATCTAATAACTCTTTCCAGTCTGTGGGACAATGAGTCTCTGTAATCATCAACCAATAGTGGATATTTATAACTGGATCAGACCCCGTGATTTTTTTTTCTCTATGAGTTTTCTACGTAAAAACTTCTGGTTTCATTACTGGTTATTTTCTTTTACTTGAGTGTGGTGAATTCTCGTGCAATGCTAAGACGATAATTCATTACTCTACTGCCACAAATTTTCTAGTACGCATCATTAATAGGTCCTTCTTCTTTTCTTTTCTTTTTATTTTCCTTTTTTTAAAAAAATTAGTTTGCTTTTACATAAATTTTGGTAAAAATGTAAATATATTGGAATTGGGTGGTGAAAATGTAAATGCCCCAAATTTTAATGGATAAATCACAACTACAAAAAAAACGTGATCTGGAAATGATTATTTTTCTCAAATAAAATGATTTACTTCTAAGAATATAAATTAAAAGATAAAGTTTATATATAAAGACTTAGTAATTGAAAGCCCAAGTCATATATATATAGATAGGCATAGAAATATGAAAATAATTGGTAATGGAAAGTTATCGACAAAATGCTATCAAAACTATCCTTGTATATATAAAGACTTAGTTATTGAAAGACCAAGTCATATATAGATAGGCTGCAAGTACTGCGGCCATTGGGAGCCACCGTGAGCAGCATTACACTATCAAAACTAAATGGTAATGAAGACATATTAACCTCTCTGAGCATTGACCTTTCAAATAATCTTTAATAATTAGAATGTAGACATTTTACTAGAGCTATTAACTAGGCTCTACTTGGTTGAAAAAGTGATACAATATAGAATGAATGCAATACAATAATATTGTACTATATTTAAATTATTTTAGAGAAATTTGATGTACTGTAAATAAATGAATATTTTTTTTTGTTTGGTTTAAATTGAAATAATGTATTTCGAACTATTCAAAATATTTAAAAATTTGCACATTATTGATGTTCAATAGAGGGGGTGGTTGTGGCTGCAAGTTGGCAGTCATGCAAGGGCTGGCAACAACAGGTGGAGGTTAGCGATGGCAGACTTTGGACGGCAGTCGATGACCGGCGGTGGCCAAATATTTGGAATTTTTTTTTTCGACCAAATAATTAGAATTTATATTCCTAAATGTACTTAAAACAAATCGTTAAACTTTCTGTAAATAGACAAGCACGTGTAATAAATTATTGCCTTATATTGGAAGCCTATTTGATATACAAGGATATGTAAGTACATGAATTAGAGAGCTTGTTTGTGAATAATGGTTACTTAACTAACCTGCAAAAAATTTGCACAACAGTTATGGTTGGAAGACTTGGAAGTAAAGATTTCCTTTGTTAGTTATGCTTTTTTTTTTTCTATTATTTCTTTGGGTTATCTAAGTAAGAATTAAGTCTTATGGTTTTGTGGAAGGAAATACTTGGGTAGGTGTGACACGACAAAAGGAAAATGTGCTCTAATTAATCCTACATCAATCTAATGATCTAAAAAAAAATGCATTGATTATAATAATCTTATTCTTGATTATTATTGAGCTCATTACACCTTTCTTATATGTTTCACGTTATTCATTTTAATTGCTTTGTTAGAACATTTTTTCATGTGATAGTAGTTGATTTTCAATGATGTTGTCTTCAAACATGAAGTTGAGGAATCTCTTCATGTCTCAACAATTATCTCATTTATTAGTTTTATTATCTTTATGAATTCATTACAACTCTCATTAATTAGAACACATCTTCATAACTTTCAATCTTATAATGATGCTCTTTATGACCATCGAAATTATGTTTAGAGTGCATTCAATCATATTTCTCATATGGTATTCCTATATTTTTTTGAAATATCATTTAAATTTCGCTTAGTGAGTATAAATGGCACGCATTTTTAACAAAGCCGATTTCTTTTAATCTATCATAATATTTGATTTTGTGTGCAATTTCAAAAGTAATTCATCAACGTCGAGCATTTTTTTCCATTAATCAACATAATAATTGACTTAATGTTACTTGTTGAAAATTTTTTATTATATATATATGCTATATTTTATTATTCTAAAAAGATTTTATAGTAAATCTATGAAAATTATAAATACATTTTAATGTGAAACTTTACCTCTAATGTTCATATATAGTTCCTAGTACATGCAAACAGATATCCCCCTCGAAATAATTCTTCAAATGTTAGATCAACTATTAGTTTAAATTAGACTTTGTCTAATTATATTGAAGTATATTAACTTTACACTAATTTGGCTCGCCATAAACGCTAAAATAAAGTGTATTATACTTTATTAGAATAGAATAAGAAAATTCATGTGTTATATTTTTATTTTCTTAAATAATATTAAATTATATAATTTTAATTCGTAAAAAAAACTATAAATATATAAAAAAAAAATTATAACAAAATGTATGACATGAGAAAAATATTAAAATAATTATGAAAATTAATGATATAAATGTAATCTCTTATGGACATGAAGAAAATTTTGACATTGCGACAACTATTTATGAATAATAGCTCTAAATGCTGATCGATGAATTGCAAATGCTTTTTTGGTTTCAACTAGAATAATTAATTAGTTTATCTTTCTTAGCAAAAATTTGACTAAGATTATTAATTTACCTAGTTAAATCTCAAAATTATAATGATCTTAATTTTTTTATACAAATAATATTCATGCTAAATTTGAAATAGCTAGAAAATAAGTTCGTCCATTTAAATTTCAAAAATATCTAAAACTATGAGAAATGTAAGGTGATTACATGTAATTAGCTTCATGAATGATCATATTGCATTGATTAATTAAATTAAGTCAATAACTTCTCATGATCCCTCTTTAATGTGGCATTTATAATTAAAAGAAACAACAACATCATAATTTATTTGTGGAAAGAAAACAGGCATAACACATACAAGTTATTTAAAATCAAAAGATTGGGAACTAGATAAGTTGATTAGTCATGATGCATCTTATGACTAATTAACACAAGATACACAAGAAAGAAAAAAATTAAAGATGAAACAACTGATAACATCGCTCTAAAGATGGATCTTCAAACTTAGAAACTAGTGCTATGCAATAGGGGGAGCGGGAAAATCATGAGTTTCATATCTCAACATACAACTGGCAGTAAGCATATTGCAATTTAAGTAGGTCCCACCTCCACATCTTGATCGAATACCATTCACCAATGAATTTATGCAGTCGTTGCATTCTAATGGCTGGAGATCTCCGGTGCACTGTACCATTCCATAGACACTTATCCTGTTCTTTAAATTTATAATTTCCATTGCTCCAAACCTGTTAGATGCTGTCTTTGCTTTCATAGTAGCCACTTCCATTACTCTGTGCACGGTTGCTATGAATTTATCACCATCATTTGCATGAATTTGCTTTGAAGACCAACCAAAAACGGGGCCCGGGACTACCTGCTTAAGAAAATTTGTGGAATCGTAGCGGAGGAAGCATTCTTCGTACCAAATTTCCACTTGGGCCGAAGAATTGCAATCCTTTTCTATTCTACGTGTCGCTTCTAAAATGCATGCCAAACAGTTCTCCTGATTTATGTCCCCTCGGCACTGAGCGTGGCCATAGATAGCATTTGAATCACTGCCATCGATATGGAAAGCGTAGTTTTCGGGACTAAGCTTAATCTTTTGTGTTATTTTAGAAAGAACGTGGCTGATGCTCTTTTTTAGCTGATAGTCGCCGGGCTTGCTGAAGTGTTTGAAGCATTGCTTAAATGGGAAAACAGATTGACATCTCGCAAATATTGGAAGGAGGAAAACCAAAAAGATGAATAGTTTGCATGAATTTTTCATTGCTATTTTTGCTTCCCCATGATTTAAATTTCTTGCTTTTTTATAAGAAAAAAAATGAAGAGACAATGCTCCGCCGGCTTTCCACTTAGGTCTTACAGCTTTTTGTTTTTATTTATTTTATCTTATTTTACATTTGACATATGGATGTTAGAATGCGATAGAATTAATAATTCCATTTGCTACGCAAAACCGCAGATTGGTGATGTCGAGAGTGTGCGTCTAAATTAACTAGAAACTATTGATAAGTTTATTAAAATTAAATGATAAAAAAAATTGATGCGTGCTAGAAAATTTGTGGCGGTAGAGTAATGGATCATCGCCTTATTAATACATGAGAATTCAACATACACTCAGATAAGAGAAACCAACCGGTAATAACATTAAAAGTTTTTATGTGGAAACCCCATAAAAAAAACCACAGAAATCCAATATAAATTGATTGTTACAGGGATCTCTTGTCCCATAGGCAAAAAAGAGTTAAAAAGTCATTTGGATTACAGCGTCGACGTGTGAATAAGCTTGGTGTAAGAAGTGGGGTGGCAGCCGATGATGATCGGTAGAGACCGACAGATCGGTCGACGGTGATCGACAACGGTCAACGGTGATCGACGGCGGTCGACGGTGGCAGGGTTGGTGTTGGACTTCAACTCTTTCTTAAAGTTTTAAGTTTTCTCTCAAACCTCAAGCGCCCCTCCCCAGAAGTGGGCCTTTGTTTATGGTGTTCTGGGTACAATTAATTCAGAAATATGAATCACTTTGATCAGACAGTCTAAAGAGCTTCATCAATAAGATGGCATTTGATGGGCATTTGAGAGTCTTAACGATGTTAGAATTGAGAAATATTGTGCTCGCTGCGTTTTCCTTGTTGAGACGCTCAATTCAGCTATAGACTTTCAATATTCGACATTCGTTTGACCATCTAAATATGTCCAGAAAACTTCAAAGAGTGGTTTAATGACTTGATCTGAGCTTGATTTGACTTGGACTGGACTAATTTTGATATCATTGGGTTCATCTCATCGAGTCAAACTGTTTGACCATAAGGTTGCTGAAATCGGAGCTTTTGATGACTATTAATTGAAGTTTGAATTTTTCTTGCACAAAAGATTACCTCGGGATTCGTGTCAGATAATGAAAATTTTTTTGTGGTGTATAAGTTGCCCCCTATTTTCAATAAATTCTGATTTCGTCGTCTGAAAATATTAGCATTTGTGGCACTTTAATTTTTGTGATTGCATTATTACTACAACACAACATTTATGTATATATATATATATATATATATATATATGCTTGTTCTGTGGTCTGTTGGTAGAACAACCTCTTTGAAGATCGTAAGTCCCTGTCAGTCAGAATTTGGTTGGTCGCTTTTGAAAATAATTTTAATTAACTTTAATATCTATATATGTAATTTTGTTTTTTGAAAATAATATTTTCATTTTGATATAAATGAGATCAAATAGATCACATATATATGATAGTTTAGATAATTGAACACGATACCACAAGTGATACACTAGCTTGAAAGATAAGCACACCACTTGATGGTAGTCTCAATCAATTAAGCTAAGAAATTCATGAATCTATTTTGGTCTGCAAATTTATAAACGACAATTTCCCTATCTAATATAAAGATTAGACATGGTTTATTTTATCTGGGTTCTTAGTTCTATTTAATGACAAAGCCATATAGTTAATTACATCTTTGGTAATCGAAATTACCTAAGAAGACTTTTGATTAGAATTAGTGGTTTCGTCATCAAAATTTCTAAGTTCAGGTTTTCAAGGTTGGACACAGAGAAAATTAAGTGGGAAATGACCAAATAGAAGCAGTTATTTAGGAGTCCAATGAGATGTCACGGATTCTAAGGTGAATCTCGGTGACTTCCCAAATTATTCTATTGTTTGTCTTTATGTCTTTAAAATCATATTTATTTGATGTTTATTCCTTCCAACTATTAGAATTTTGGGACTTATATATGTACGATGTTCGATCTTGTAAATAACTTTGAAAAACAAGAGGATTTACATCCGAACGACAACCTCAGAATTCTAAAAAGTGTACGCTCATAAGATCCCTAAAAAAGAAGTGAGGATTTACATTGTGCTAGACAAACTACCTCAAAGTACTATAAGTTTTTGTTATTTAGAGCTACAGAAAGTTTAGTTGAAGGTCGCTCGCTTCTTTCTATTTCGATCTTGTTCGTCACCTGAAGTTGTCCTTCGTCTGCTTGCAGCCTCATCCCGCTCCTCAGAAAGCTTGCTTCGAGCTCCTTGTTGTGATGTTTTTGGGTTTGAAGAAGTGTGTTTAGATATACATTATTGTTGAGTTATTGGCTTTGCTACAAAGTTCCTCCTAAACAAGTGTCATGTTGTTCTCTATCCTAGAGGTCTTTTACAAGTATAATAAGTAACAAAATAATAACGTTGCGTGCATAAACAAGATATATGTAGAAGAGTGCAGTAGGAACAATATACAATAAAAAAGAGAGTGGAAGTATGTACATGTCGCCTCTGACGCTGTTGTAAAAGGGAGGGGGGTTAATATCACAGTTGAAATATGCAAATATTGCAAAGAATTAAGCATATGTTTAAATAAATAATCAAGTGGCACATATATGAAAGATCATGAGTTATAAAAATTCAAGTTCGGGGTAGACTCAGAATCCTGCTCGAAAGGGCACTAACAAGAGAGTCAGGATCATGTCTATGAGATCTAACATATGGCAAATGACAACCAATTTGGCAGACATAGAAGGGCAACTCCTAGCCTGGCTTATGTGATCGACCTTTGAATTTCCATGAATTTTGTTTTATCATGCAATCAAATATTTTGTTTTATCACACAAAAGGGTTTTGATTTGTGTTAGAAAAAGTATGTTATATTATATGTTTCATGTTGATGCACCAAAAATATATGTATTTTACGACCTATATTTTATACTCATTTTTTGTGATATTGCACTTTAAAGGAGGGTATTTTGCATGTTTTTGGCTTCAGGTACAAGAAATAGACTTTTGGTAAAAAAGAAGCAAAAATTGTACAATTTTGAGCAAAAATGAGCAAGAAAAAATTTTTGGCCTAACACATTTCGATATGTCTTACTATGTTTAATATAATTCTCACTTCTCACATATTTTTGAATGAAATTATTCTTTAAAGAAATATTTTTTCATGCTTATATTGTAGGTCTATCTGTTAGGAACGAAACACAATTAAAACGGAGCGAAATGGAGTTGAAACGAAGTCAAAAGGAGTGAAACAGTGGAGCTGCTGCAGACCAACGCCGAGGTGCCCAAGTCCAGAGAAGCGACAAAAGATAGCGCTGAAGGCGCCCAGACCAGCACTGACGGCACCCGGGATGATTATGGACGGATTTTTGGCGGTTTATAAAATTCTAGAAGATTCCCAAGTGATTCAAACACCCCATGAAATGATTCAATGCATCTAGACACTTGAAAAGACTCTTAAATGAAGGGATGTGTCTCTTAGAGTTAATGAGTGGTTTTTAAATGAAGAAATCTCTCTTGTAGTGATTCAATGAATCTAGACACATGGAGTGAAGAGATGTGTCTCTTGAAGTGAAGGTCTTGGGAAAAAGAAGGGATTTTGTGCCTCTTTAAAAGAGAGGGACTGACGCCTCTCATATTGGGGGGTGTGCGTGTGTTTATGTGTGCATGCGTGTGTGTGTGTGAGTGCGTGTAAGTGTAGAGTAAAGTCTTGTTTGTGGAGAGGATTTTTTTGAAGAATTGTAAGAGGAGAGGGAATGTGAGAAGTTTCTTCTTTATTACATTTCTAAGAGAGAATTCAGTGTTGATTGTGAAGAGAGAAAGTGCTTCAAAAAAACTTAAGGGATTTGCTTGAGGAGGAGTTTAAGATAAGTTGTGTTTTTGTCATTTACCTCAGCCTGAAGCTTTATTTTTTTATGGCTCATTGATTTATTACTTTGTTGCTCTTTTGGCTTGGAGTTTCTCCTTTTTTATGCAGGTATCTTCCAGGGATTTTTCATATATTATTCCACATCGTTGTGGGGAGCTCTACAGTTGAAGATCATACCCTCTTGGTTGTTGGTTTCTTTTTTGCTACACTTACAGACTTTTGTGTATATTTCTCTTGTGTTGGGTATTGATGCGGTATTAGTGTGTTGTTTTTGGGATTTTTTTTTTTTTGTGTCGAATTGTCTTGTGGACTTATGGATGAGGAACCCACATAATTTGAGCGAGTATTGTAATATTTTTGGGTTTTTGGTAGCGGGAGATCCTCTCCCTATTTTCTTGTAACACTTTTTGTCGATTAACATGTAAGGAGCCATATGTTGCTCTTTCTTTAATATATATATATTTATATAAATGATTTTTATTTTCTTACAATCCATAAACTCATTGTAAATGGAAAGGAGGCTTTCTTAAATTTGAACTGTCCATCACAAAACATTATTTAGTCTTAGTAAATTTAACTTTGAAGTTTAGAAAAAAAATAGAGATATATATATATATATATATATATATATATATATATATTACTGGGCGAATAATTGGAGATTCTAGGGTGATGGACTAAAATCTCCAATTTGGTCTTATTGTTTAAGAACTGAAGTGAGAGTTAGTCTTCAGGGGAAGAGAAGTGGGAGCTCTGGAGTGAGAGTCAGTATCCTCCCAGCCTAACCACAGATTTAGGGACTAAACCTAAGATTAGCCAATGATTCTCTATAACGATTGACCGAGGGTAGAGAATTAAAATTGCTCCTATTTGACACAATACAAATTCAAACCATTTATCTCTATCATTAACCAAAAATTCATTGTAGTGGAAATGATACTTTCTTAAATTTGAACTATTCGTCACAAAACTTTGTTTAGTCTTAGTAAATTTAACTTTAAAGTTTAGAAATTAATTTAGTAAACTTAGTTTCGTTAGCATACATTAAAACCTTTTAATCAACCTTCCAAACTAATTGCTTATAGTAGTATACTAGAATTAGCCTAAGGGATTTCTTACATCGCTTCTTCGTGAGATCGATACTAGGGTTTTTAAAGAAATTATTATATTACTTGAAGCTATATGTACACTTGCATAGAATCACTAGTGTGTAAACTATTTTATATATTTTATAAATATTTTGATTTTCCACATTAACTACTTAATATAAATTGGGACAAGTTTTTGGTCATATTTTTGAAAACTAAATTACTGCGTAATTTCGGGACGGGTCAAGTTCTTAGCACTGTTACCGTGGATTTAAATTGACATAAAACACACAAAAAAAAACAACACACACTAGGGGTGCATCACATGCGCCAGGTAATTCATGAATTAGTCATATTGTTGGGCTAGAGCTACCAGCAGTCTATGTGAATAAGAGATAAATCCTTACAAAATGTTAGAAAGTAGTAATGTCAATCATTGACATTCTCCATTCCTCAGGTTAGAGTTACGCAAAACTTCGTACATACCTAGATGTCTTTTTCATCACCACCTTTAAGCCTTAGATCATCCAACTTATAGTCTCACTCGATGATTCATTTATCACTACACTATGTATATTTCCACTTATATTTGAATATCAGCAGAACTTAGGAAGAACCTGCAAATTAAATCATCGAGTGATGAAAACTTAACCACGACGGCATTCAAAAATCTTCCCAAAATAACATATATATTTCTCTTATAATCAACAAGTGCATGTGGCAAAACAACACTCATATGTTTCCAAAAAAGAAACTGCGATCGTATATGATAAAAACATCACTTATATGCCCCCAAAATTAGCAAGAAAAATGGGTTAGAACAACAGTCATGTGCCACCTAACAACCAGAAAACTGGGCCAAAATAGAACTTAAACCTTCTCAAAATGGACATTTTGATCTCCTCAAAACAGTAAACAAATTAGCTGAAATGTAGCATTTAAACCTCTCTGAAATAGTGGATATACGATACGAAGATCAACATTTAAATCCTTTGAACAGTAAAAAAATCAGCCCAAAAATGCATGAAGAATTTCTACAAAAACAATACACGTGCAGCCTAAAAATAGAACAAAAAGGTTTATACATCCCCTCAAAAACAACCAAAATATAGGGAAAAAACAACAAGAAAAACAAGTTAGAACGACACCCCATCCCTTCTCCAAATCAACAAATATTCAGCTCAAAAGATCATCATTTAAAACATTCAAAACAACATACCTTGGACCTAAAATCAGCATCTAAAGTATTAAAAAATCCATATGTAACAAGCCTAAAATCGACATTTTAAGCCTCCAAACATCACATGAAATCCTCCCAAGCAGTAGGTTTACAAAGCTCAAAACTGCATTTTAATATTTTGAAATTAGTGGGTAAATGAACCCAAAAATAGTGAGTTCACATGTGTTAAAACTGCATTTTATCATCTCCAACAACAGTGAATTTAGAGGGCATAAAACAACATTGAAATCTTAGCAAAACAGCTAGTAAATTAGATCAAAATAATGAGTTCACAGAGGCTAAAATAGAATTTTATCATCTCCAAAACAGTGTACATATAGTTCAAAATCAACATTGAACAAAGTTCGGCTTACAAGATTTAAAAGAAATTCAAATGCATAAAAGAACAACGGAGTTAGAGAACACTTAAGCTCTAATCACAAAGAATCGATGACAATCCCCCCTCTCAAAAAATAACAAATTAAAAAGATAAAAGTTCATAACACTGATCATGATTCAGGCATTGTTTCAATAGTCAACACAATACTTTTGCAATATATTAGTCATTGCATTACATCCAACATATATTTAATTTGCCCCTACTTTAACATCGATGCTTAGAAGAATCAAGCAAGAAAACATAGCTCTTAATGTTCAAACAAGTCTATGAAATTTACTAAAAAAAATAGCACTTGCAACGCTACTTAGATAAGCAATACACCTTTATAGCTCAAAGCAGGATCATACAAGAAGAGCTAAGGTTCTCAACTATTCTTAGAGATTTATGATAACAACCAAGCAAGAATATTGAACGATTAAGGGAGGAAAAATGGTTAACTTGCTCAAACTTTTGCCAAAAGAAAACAACTAAGCTATAAAAGGCCCAAGCACACAAAGAACAAATTAACTAGTGGAGATCCAACAAAATTTCAACAACCCCAAACCTTCCACCTGATGGGGTTTGTATTGCCAAGGAGGGAAGAGACATTTTCATTTAACTTACCTGGGTTGAGCCAAAATCGATAGAGACAGGGAAGTGGCGACAAGGGTTGCATGAGATGGTGGAGAAAGCGGTGAGCAGAGGAAGTGAGGAGCAAGTAAAGCGACAGGCAGCCTTGCACCGAAAGGGTAGGGCACAGAGGAAAGTAATGCAGCTAGGGTTTGCGTGAGAAGTCCTTTAGCACTTCAAATAATCCACGAGGTGTTATTTTGAAGTTATTAGGGTTGTATTTAGGTGTTATTAGCGTGATAATGCAGTTTCACGAAATCGATGTTATTGGATGTGTTATCGGGGTGTTATCAGAGAAGTATTGCGGAACTGGTGCTATTGGAGTTGTTATCGGGGTGTCATCGCGGAAGTACCGGAGAACTGGTGTTATTAGAGGTAGTATTGAGGCGTTACCATAGTCTTGTGGCAATTAGTGTTATTGGCCATGATATTGAGGGTGTACGACAGTATTATTGGCAAAATTGCAGAGAACTAGTGTTATTAAGCGGCGAGACTGTAGTATCACGGGCAGCATAACGGTGGTGTTATTATGGGTGTTATTTCAGTGGTAAGGTGGTGTTATCACGGGATTGTGGCACGGTTTGGAGATGTTATTTGGAAGGAAAATATGGCGCTATATTGGTGTTGTTGTGAGTGTATTTAGGTAGAATTTGAGGGAAAACACAATGGAGTTAGGTGTTATTAGGAAGTTGTATTATTGGAGCAAATTGTGGTGGTGTTATGGTGTTATTATAATTGTATTAAGGTGTTATTGGCGTAGTATTGAGGAGAATGTGAGGATAAGAGTGCTATTTAGCGGTGATAGCATTATAACACCTCATATGTTACTTGAAATCCAGAAATTAGAACCTTAGTGAGCTTTTAGAGATTGCCAAGAGGAAAATTAGACGTGGATTTCACAATTTTGGATTTGTGTGGAATTTGATGTGAATTGGATTTGATTTTGAATTTGGAAGTGAAATTTGATGTAAATTTGAAAATTTTGGCAATAAGGCTGGGGTTGAAATTGATTTTGAATTGTGTAGGATTTGATGTAAATTGATGTGAATTTGCATTTGGAGTCCATGGAAATTGTATTTGAAGTTTGGATTTGATTTTGGGTTGAAAATTAGGTAATTTTGGATGGTTTGAGTGAATTTTATGAAGTGTAATTGAAGTGATGTGAGTGAAGTGGTGTCTAAGCCACCCAATGTTCTAAGGCCTCATGATCATATGGGAACTCATTTTTTGTGTCTTCAAGATGTTGGTCTCAATCAACTCAACCAATTAATTAGGATTTAATACCACTGATATGAGACTTCACTAAAAGAGTCAAGAAAGGGTTTGGAATTTTAAAAGGGGTGGGTCCCGTCAATAGGCTTCTAGGATAGTCAAAGGGAAAGTCTTATGACTAAATCTTAAATCCTAAGAGGAAGATTAGACCTCACCAAAAATAAGGGCAACAAATGGACCCCCAATAGGTGTGGTGTGTTGGACATGCACAACGCGCGTATTGGCGTTGACCGAATTAATCAACAAAGCCAAAGGGCTGCCCAAGTAGACTTCCTTAGAACATGCCCAATATTTAACTTGATTTGATGTTGAATTTGAGTCAGTCCCACTTCGAAATTCTTATCTCAAAGGAAAGATTTGAATTGAAGATTTTGAGCATTTCTGTTGGAGATTAGCTGGTGTATTTTTAAATTATTGCTATGAATTTGAGTTTTCAAATTTAATTGTTGATTTAATTTGCTTTTTTTGTTTGATTTTGTGTGTCCTTTTCTGTCGTAATTTTTAAGATTCTGAGGGTGAAAGTTGTTGAAAATTTCTTATCGATGATATGATAATTTGTCAATTTGATTTGATAGAAAGACTAGGTCAAGCAGAAAAGTACAGGGAATCACATCCAACTTAAGATCTAGTGACGGGAATTTTGCTAGAATGAGGAGGAAAGCTTTGGGACTTACATTCAACCCAAGAGATAGTGAGTGCTGAGATGGGTTAGGATTATACCTTTCCCGAATGCTGAGTGCTGAGGAGGATTAATACTTTGCCTATCTCAATTGCTGAGTGCTAAGAAGGGTTAGGACTACGCCTATCCCGATTGCTGGGTCTTAAAAAGGATTAGGCTTAGGACTACGCCTATTCAAATTGCTGAGTTCTGAGAAGGATTAGGAATACACCTATCTTGATTGCCGAGTTCTAAGAAGGATTAAGACTATGTTTATCCCGATTGCTGAGTGTTGCGAAGGATTAGGAAATGTCTATCCCAATTGCTGAGTGCTGAGAAGGATGAGGACTATGCCTATCCTGAATGTTGAGTGCTGAGAAGGTTTAGGACTATAAATATCTCAAATGCTGAGTGTTGAGATGGACTATGACTATGCCTATCCTGATTGCTGAGTTTATAGATTTGTGAAATGCAAAAATTTATGAAATTGTGGTGATTGGGGAGTTTTGCATAGACTTTGTGAAATTCACGGAAGTTTATGAGAGCGCAGAGATGCAGTGGAGTTGAGCAGATTTGCAGAGATTTGAAGACTTGTGAAATTGCAAAATTGTGAATATTTACTGAGATTTGTGAAGTTGAAAGACTGAAGATTTTTTGAGATTTGTGAAGTTGCATGATTTTGAAAATTTGTTGAGACTTGTGAATGCGGAGATTGTGAAGATTTGTCGAGGTATGTGAATGCAGAGGTTGTGAAGATTTCCTAAGAATTATAAAGTTCTAAAATTGTGGAAAATTTATGAAGCGTGAAATTTATGAAACTTGTGAGTACAAAGATTTATGGTGTTTGATGTAGAATTTTGTAGAGATTGATGTGAAATTTGTGAAGATGAAGAAATTTGTAGAACCGTGAGTGCAGAGATTTGTGGTATCTATGTTGAATTTTGTAGAATTTATGGAAATTTATAAAGTGCGGAATTCTGTTGAAATATGTGTTCAGAGATTTGTGGTGAAAAATTATGAAGTGTGGAGTTCTGTGAGAATGCGAGTGTAGAGATTTGTGGTGAAATTTTATGAAGTGCGGAGCTTTGTGAAAATTTATGGAAGTTCTGTAAAATGTCTGTAGGAAGGAATCAAATTGAGAAGGAATGTCAAGGGACTTACATTCGACTTAAGAGCTGATCAAAGAAATGTCTGTGTGGACAGTAATGTGATTTCGTATCAATGGAACCAGCCAAGCCCTTTCCACTCCGAGCAAAAGACAAAGAAGAGTGAGGTTCCATGTAAATAGAGCCAGCTAACCTCTTCCTTGCAAGAAAGAGGACCCAGAGTTCCAGTGAAAGGAAACTTCAGCTGAGAGAGATTTTGTTAGTGATAGGTCGAGAAGACTCAACTTGACGAGGTCGAAATTGAAGTTCGAGACTTTGATTGTGATTTTGATTTTTGAATGCTTTTATTTGATTTGATTTGATGTTGAGTTTTATTGTTTTCTTGTGTTTTGATGTGATTTTTATTTAAGTTTTGTGAGTTTTCTCTTGCTACATTATTTTTAGTTAAGATGTGGACACACTTTTAGACAAGTGTGGCATTTGTGTTTCTAAGAACGAGGCTTTGTCTTTGAAACACCATGATGTGTAGTACTTCTCGAGATATCGTCCATTGACTGGAGGCACATGTAAAAATAACTCATTCTTTGAGGTACTATCAGAACCATATTCTTTCAAGTACACATAAATATGTGCTAGTTCCAAGGACATCATAGTCAAAAGACTGTATTATTGTAGCTTCGTTTGTATTTGTCTTTGCTTGCTTATCACAGATTTTGTAAAGATTGCTCATATTGTCCTTAAGAAATCCTTTTGACGTTCTTCAAATTGAGATTGGAGCTTAATCTTCTGAGCATTGAAAGATATGACTTTAGGGTAAGATTTCCGTTAATTGCTGATAACATAACTTTTTTTTAATTCCTTCTTTTTGAGCCTAAACATATTTCAAAACATCAAACCATGTAATTAAAATATTTTTTTTTCCCCAAAGATATTTCTGAACCAATTAATAACCAACAAAAAAATACAAGATCACTTAACATTTTCAAAATATATAACTAGAAGAATTTTCTTAAGATAACTTTTCAAATTTTATTAAATAGATGAGAACTCAGGCCCCAATTTTTTATTATATGCTCACCTTAAGGTTCATCTTAAGGAGCCCCCTTTTGCCTTTTTTTTTTTTTTTTTTTTTGTTTTTTGAATCAAGTTTTTCAGACACTTTTTCCTTTCTTTATATTTTCTTTTCCAATTAGATTCACTATATCTGGTGGAGCAAATTTTAAGGATTTTGAATGTCAGAATTCAGACACTAATTTTTGATTTTATGCTCACCTCAAGGTTCTTTTCAAAGAGCCTTTCACACAATTTAATTTTCATTTTTTTTTTTGTTCTCCCTTTTTTACTAAGAATTATTATATCTTGCGGAGCATATTTTAAGAATTTTGAATGCCGAAACTTCCTTAATTAATAACTCTCAAATTTTCTTTAACATGAATTCTGGAATATTATAGCTCATTCAAAAGTCACGACCAAATCATATGACAGAGAAATTAGGAGCATCGTGATATCCCAAGTCAATTACTCGTATTTTAATCACAATATTTTATTTTTAAATTTACTTAGGATCCAATCTGAATTCTTTAAAGTGAAGCACCCAGTTATTATGACATCAATTTCATTTTCCCATGAAATCATAATTTTATCAAAATATTGGATTTTTTTGTCTTGGATTAGTCTCTTCTTAATTGACTTTTTGCTGAGCCTTTAACGTTTTTTTCTTTTTTTTTTTAAGCGAGCTTTCTAAACATTGAACAATTCCGGACAACAACAAGTTCTTTTCTTTTCTTTTCTTTTTATTTTATTGTGATAGAGAGGGTTGGGACAAACAGACATTGATCCTGCTAATATCATTTTTCATCATCGGTATTAGTAGAGAGATAAAACCTATTATCCCTCAATAGAGGAGAGGTCTTGAATTCAGTGTTCTAGCTTGCATCAAAACATTTTGGATCTAGCTCAATATTTTTCGTCGAAAACCTCACTAAAATTGTGTTTTATCCGTTGTCAGTTGTATAGGAATCAATTAGAACAATGAGATAGGCTAAAATCTTATTCATAGAACCAGTTTCAGGTTCTCTAAAATATTCTTTTGGGATCATTATGTTCTCATTCTTGAAGTTCTTCTCGAGCCACTCTTTGAAGCTGATACAACCCTCCCTTTTGGGCTCAAGCAATCCGTGATATAGGCAATATCTAGGGTGATCCTTCTTATCGACATCATATGGTTTTTTCGATTCTGGTAATCTGAATTCGGACTTCTTGATCAAATCCCAGAACATCTTCGACATTGCCTCATCCTTGAAAGGATATACTTTATTCAACATTCAGTCATGGAAGAAACCTGTCTTCCATCTATCTGGTATGACCTCTTCTGGAAAGACTGTTGATCGTGCCGTTGATGGTACTTTTGACTATGTTGCGGATGTTTCTAGTGGTACTGCTGTGAATTTTCATTATATTGTTATGTATATTACTAGTTGTACCACTGCAGATGTTGGTTGTATTACTGCGGATGCTGGTAGTTCTGTCGAGGCAGCTCGGCCTAAATCTGCATCGGCTGCTTGCTTTTGTCCATCACTACCACTATCCTGGACTTCTTCTTGAATGTCTTGACCGACTTTGGCTTCTCAGAATTTTCTAGAAAATCCAACCGCTTGGCCTCTTTCAGCAAGCTTTTGGCTTCGCTGAGCAGCTTTTAGAATATTTTGATGGTGAATCCCTTGAGTAAGAAACTCACTAAATCGTTTATGTTTTTTAGCAGGATCTCAATTGCTTGTTGTTCTTGGAGCTATGGTTCACACCTCATGCTGAGATTTATTTAACACAAGATGCAATTATTACCCCCCCCCCCTACCCCGCTTTGCAGCAACTTACTCGAAAGTGTGCAACATGCTGTCAAGGGTTTTTGGTATAGTCAAAAGTTTTGAACAATGGTGGTACGAAACTCTTGGGACATTGTATGACATCAAATTCCTCCGGGTAAGATTTACCTTTAGAATCAACGCCCTTTCTTTTGGCTGATACAGGACTTCTTTCACCTGGTGTTTGATGGACATTTCAGTGCCTTAACGATGTCAGAATTGAGTAATTTTGGGCTCCTGAGATTCATCTTGTTGAGACGCTCAATTCAACTATAGGCTTGCTGGATTCAACATTTGTTTGATATTTTAAATTTGTTCGGAAAATTTCAAGCATAGTTAAATGACTTGATCTAAGATTGATTTAACTCGAATTAGGCTGATTTTGATATCATTGGGTCTGTCTCATCAAGCCGGGTAGTTTGACTATAAATTTGTTGAAATCAGAGCTCTAGATGACTCTTAATTGAAGTTTGAATGTTTCTTACTCAAAAGATTGTTTTGAGATTTATATCATGCCTCGAGATTCATGCAGGATGATGAAATTTTATGGTGGGTATCAAAAATTGACATTGCCTATATATTATTTATAAAACAAATGACTTATAGTATCTTTTCGTTTCAGTACAAAATTAAAATTGAACAGTGTCCATTATTCAATATAGCATTGCCTGAGCAACTTTTTTTTTCTCTTGCTCAAATTATTTAACAATATTAATAGGTACTTTTTATTTTCTTTTCTTTTTTTTTTTCTTTTTTTAAAAGAAATTAGTTAGCTTTTACATAGATTTTGGTAACAATGTAAATAGATTGAAATTGGGTGGTGAGCACTTAAATGCCCCAAATTTTAATGGATAAATCACTACTACATGAATAACTTGATATGAAAATAATTATTTTTTCTTAAATAAAATAATTTACTTGTAAGATATTAAATTAAAAGATAAAGTTTATATATAAAGACTTGAGGAATTCAAAGCTGAAGTCATATATATAGATTAGGTATAGAAATATGAAAGTAATTGGTAATGAAAATTTATCGATAATCCATTGCTTGCAAGTACCTGCGGCCATTTGGAGCCACCGTAAGCGGCATTATGATGCCATCAAATTTAAATGGTAATGAAGACAAATTAACCTCTCTGAGCACTCATCTTTCAGATAATCTTTAGTAATCATGATCAAGACATTCTACTGGAGCTATCAACTAGGCACTATTTGTTTGGTTGAAAAGCGATTCAAATTATTTATTTCAAAATATTTAAAAATTAACACGTTACTGGCGGTCCATAGAGGGGCCGGTAGTGGCTGTTGGTTGGTTGTCAGGCAACGTCTGGCTGCAGCCGGTGGAGGTTAGCGATGACAGACTTTGGACGACAGACGTTGACGGGTGGTGGCCGAATAATTAGATTTTTTTCGACCAAATAATTTAAATTTATATTTCTAAATGTATTTAAAACAAATCGTTAAACTTTTTGTAAATAGAAAAGCATCAAGTTATATATTATTGCATTATATTGGAAGCTTATTTAGTTGACATACAAGGATATGCAAGTACATGAATAACAGAGCTTGTTTGTGAATAAGTGAAGATGAAGAATCTCTTCATCTCTTAACTATTATCTCATTTAGAAAATTCTTATCTGCCTTATTAGTTTTATTATCTTTATACATTCATTATAACATTCTATTAATTAGAGCACATCTTCATTACTTTCAATCTTATAGTGATGTTCTCTGACCATCGAAATTATGTTTAGAGTGCGCTCAATCATATTTCTCTAATGATATTCCTATGGTTTTGTGAAATCTCATTGAAATTTCATTTAAAGAGTTTAAATGGCACTCATTTTTAAGAAAGTCCATTTATATTAATATATCCTAGTATTTCATTTTGTGTGCAATTTCATAAGTAATTCATCAACGCCGAGCATTTTTTTTTCCATTAAATGCAAATTATAAATGCATTTAAATGTGAAACTTTGCGCTCTAATGTCTATATTTAGTTGTTGCAAATTTTTGAAAGACGATATAAGCAAACAAATAAATTAAAAAAAAAAAACTCCTAATTTTTTGCAATCAAATATCCCCCTCGTAATAATTCGGCAAATGTTAGATCAACTAATAGTTTAGATAAAGACTTTCTCTAATTACATTGAAGCATATTAATTTTACATTAATTTGGCTTGCCATAAACACTAAAATAAAGTGTATGATAGTTTATCAAAATAGACTAAGAAAATTCATGTGTTATATTTTTATTTTCTCAAATAACATTAAATTATAATTTTAATTTGTAGATAAATCTATAAAAAAATTTTAAAAAAATTATAATAAAATGTATGATATGAGAAAAATATTAAAAAATTTATGAAAATTAATACATAAATATAAAAAAAAAATTAGCATATATTAATCTTTTATGGACATGAAGAAAATTTTGATATTGTGGCAATTATTTATGAATGATAATTTTATATGCTTACAAATGAATTGTAAATGTTTTTTTTTTATATTAGAATAATTAATTAGTTAAAAAATAATAATTAGTTCATCTTTCTTAGCAAAAACAAGTTAGTCTATTTAAATTTCAAAAATATCCAAAACTATGAGAAATATATGGGGATTTCATGTAATTAGCTTCATGAATGATGGTATTGCATTGATTAATTAAATTAAACCAATAGCTTCTGATGATCCCTCTTTAATGTAGCATTTATAATTAAAAGAAACATAAAACAACATAATTTACTTGTAGAAAGAGAATATGCGCAACACATACGAGTTATGTAAAATCAAAAGATTGGGAACTGGACAAATTGATTAGTCATGATGCATCTTATGACTAAATAACACAAGATACACATTAAGAAAAAAATTAAAGATGAATAGGGCCAATAGGACTGGCAAGAAAATTAGAAATCTGATATCTCAACATACAGCTGGCAGCAAGCAATTGGCAATATGGGCCGGTTCCGCCACCACAACTTCGTAAAATATTATCACTCATAATAGCCTTCGTCAATAAATTAATGCAGTAGTTGCATTCTAACGGTTGGAGATCTCCCGTGCACTGGACCATTCCAAAGACTGTTAGGTGGTTCAGTAAATCAAGACCTGCCATTGCTCCAAACCTATTAGATGCTGTTATCGCTTTCATGGTAGCCATGGTTAATACTTTCTTCACGGTTCCTACGTATTCAGACTCATACTTCCAATAAAAAACGGCATCTTCTGCAATCCAACCATGGATGGGACTGCCGACTACCCCCTTAAGAAAATTTGTGGAATCGTAGCGAAGGAAGCAAAGGTCGTACCAAATTTCCGCTCGGGAAAAAAAAGGGCAATCCTTTTTTATTCTACGTGTCGCTTCTAAAACGCATGCCGAACAGTTCTTCCGTGTAATGTCCCCTCGGCACTGAGCGTGGCCATAGATTGCATTTGAATCACTGCGAGCAACGTCGAAAGCGTAGTAATTGGGACTATGCCTAATCTTTTGTACTATATTAGAAAGTACGCGGTTGATGTTCATTTCCAGCTCATGGTCGCCGGGGTTCTTGAAGAAAATGTCGCAATCCCGCACTGGAAATCGACGATATTGAGGGGCACATTTCCCAAATACTGAAAGGTGGAAAACCAAAAAGATGAATAGTTTGCGTGAATTTTTCATCGCTATTTTTGCTTCCCCATGATTTAATTTGCTTGCTTTTTTATAAGGAAAGAAATGAAGCAGACTCCAATGCTGCGCCGGCCTTCCGCTAAAGTCTGGCAGCTTTTTATTTTTATTTATTTTATCTTATTTTACGTTTGACATATGGATGTAAGAAAGCAATGGAATTAATGATTCCATTTGACAACACAAAACCGCAGGTTGGTGATGCCCAAAGTATACGTCTACAATAACTAGAAAACTATTGATAATATAATTAAAGCTAATTGGTAATAAAAAATCTACATTGCCTAAATATTATTTATAAAACATATAATTTATATTATCTTTTAGTTTCACTACAAAATTAAAATTGCATCTAGTGTCTATTATTTGATATGGCATTGCCTGAGCAACTTTTTTTTTTCTCTTCCTCAAATTTTTTAACAATATTAATAGGTCGTTTTTTTTTTTTTACTTTTCTTTTTTTAAGAAAATTAGTTTGCTTTTATATAAATTTGGTATTAAATATAAATTTATTGGAATTGGGCAGTGAGCATGTAAATGCCCCAAAATTTTAATGGATAAACCACTACTACTAGAAAAATGTGATCAGGAGATAGTTATTTTTTCTTAAATAAAAAAATTACTTGTAAGAATTTAAATTAAACGCTAACATTTATATATATAT